GGGGGGGGTGGAGAAGATAGAGAAACCTCCAGCAAATATAATCCCCCAAAGGCAGAGAAACGCAAATGTAAAAGAAAGAAATGAGAAAGCTTATAAAGCAATAAGTGGAAAGGAGATAACAACTGTTTAAGAGGCTACGGACCTACATGTTTTAGTAAAGGCCTTGTAAACTTTCAAGGAAATAATATTGCCCATAATAGAGGATAACTGTCTACATATCACTCACCATGTGACTTCTCTAGTGGATTCACAAACACTTAGAAAAGGTAAGTATATTTGTTATTGACTCTCTTTATTAACTTGTTCCCCCTTCCTGTCTTTGAAAATTCTAGTCAGTGTGTTTAGACAGTAAAGATACAAGAGATGTAAACCTTGAAAGAGGAAGGGGGGTAAACATACAATTATTTTAAACGATCTATGTGTAGCTACTTGGAAAGTCTAAGAAAGTGCTCTAAAAAAGCTATGATCACTAGCAATTTTTCAGTAAGGTATTCTAATATAAAATAAACTTTCAAAGCTAATAGCATTTTCGTATGCCTAAAATAATCATGTCTTATGTACTTGGGGAAAATGGAGTTCAAAATTGCAATGAAATAGCAAAATATTAAGGAATAAAAGGAAGAAATTTGAAAGACCTGCCTACATAAAAAAAAAAAAAAAATTGCAACATTTTAAGCCAAGACATTCAAGAAGACAAGTCCTAGTGATTTCCTGGCCACGTTGCTAAATGGGCCCACTCTACCAAAAGTAGGTTGTTTCTCCCAGATCAATGTGCGAGTTTAATATAACACCAATTAAATTTCACTGCATGTCCTGCAACATTTCTAAAATCCATGTCAAAAATGCTGGCAAGAGTTAGCAAAGAAATAATTGAATAGAAGTGATATACTATATATTAAAGTATATTATAAAGCTATGAGAAATAACTATTGATATTTGCATATGTATAGACAGATTGACGCAACATAAACACAATAAACAGATGCTAGAATATACAGAAATTTAGTAAAAGAGATTTGGGGCATTAAAAATGTGTAAGGAAAGAGAAATATAATATATATGTGATGTGTATAACTCGTTAAATTTGAAAAATATGTAGTTTATTCTTTACCTTAATATCAGACACATACATTTTTGATGAATTAAAGAAATATATATATATAAGATCACAAAAGTGACATAAAAAAAATAAAGAAATTTTTATCTAATGTTAGGATGATATACTTTTGAAGCATAAAATCAGTGGAAGAAATCACAAAAGATAAAAAAATTAGACTAGCATAAAAATGTAAACAGCCATACAGATGAAAAATGGTGAAGATCGTGAGACCCCTTGTCCCTCACGACGTCTGTCCAGTAAAGTAGATGAGCAGTGACCGCAGGAGCGTATTTTCGATCATCAAAAGATATCCAAGGCTCAAAAACAAGGTGCATTTGTTCACCAGGTCACTTTTGGTAGAAGTTTTATTTAATGTTTGCAAATGCGATTTGTCTAGGCTCCGCCCTTGTTGTGAACTGCAACATAACAGACACGAGGGATAACACAAACCTTCGATGCTGGAAAGTCGGGACCACCTTGGTGGATGTTTACTACCAGGAGTCCAGGCGGATCCAAGAGGGAAATGAGTAGGTATTTCGCGTTTCTGGTCTCGCCGCGCCGGCTCCGTCCAGTGACTTGGGGAGCGGCTGCCTCCCGTGTTCTCCTTGCCCCGTCGCTCCTTTGGCTTTGGCTTTCAAAGCTCCTCTCAGTGCTGTGTGAGGGAGCAGCTGGTCCAGAGGAGCGTGAGCGCTCAGATTGTCAGCCCCTGCCAGGTGCTAGCGCCGAGGCGAAACGTGAAGCGGGGCCTGCGGGCAGCTGCTGCGAAAACCGGCCTCATTCCTGGTCAGGCACAGGGGGAGCCACGGCCTCCCAGCCTTAAGGAGCAAGACCGGGGCCCTCGGGGGACTCTCGGGGAGACAGTGCACGGCCATTAGCTGACCGTGTGAGCCCAGTTCCTGAGGGTCTGAATCGTGTGGTGGAAAACGGGACTCATAAAGTCAGAGGGCAGAAGTACTGGTGCTGGGCCTTGCCGTGGAGATGCTGAGGCTGAGTGGACGGGGAGAGGGAAGGTGCTGAGGGCGGAGGAGGGTTCTGTAGTGAGCGGAACCACGCTTCCTTTCCCACTGTCCCCGCGATAGTGCAGGTTTGGAACTACCCAATGCACACACCTCACTAGCTGCTCAGTGGAGTATCCACAGGGTAAAATGGTAGCCAAAGTGTCTCTAGGAAAAAACTTTACTCCCCAGACTAAAGGTTATAAAATATGTTGGGCAAAATATGACTCCGGCATGAATGAATTGCTCTTTTCTTTTACAGAACCCAAGTTTCTTCTAAGGAGGAGAACTTTTACACCGTGAGCATAAGCTTTTCAGAAGTGAGAATGGAAGATTACGGCCACCCCTTCACGTGTCACGCTGGCGTGTCTGCGGCCTACTTTATTCTAAGACCCCCAGGTAACGTTCCCGTGGGTTAAATCCTGTTCAGAGAGCTCAACACGATGGCAAGGAAACCCACGTGGAGGACAGGTGGCATGGGGGCCGCAGCAGTGGGGTTTCACGGACCCGCCCCCGTCACTCCGTCACAGCCGCTCTAACTGTGAAAGAGCACGCAGCACCTCCTCCCTGCTCCGAGACCCACGGGGACCCCCTGGGGCTGCAGCAGGTGGAAGAAGCCGTGGGCTTGTCAGCCACCACTGTTCATTTCCACTGTTCTCAAGGGCTTTCTCTTGTCATAGAAAGTAATTTTTGATGGTTTTTCTCCCAATCAATCTTGTGCATCTTTTTTTAAATTTATCTTTACTGTTGAGAGTATTACAGATGCTCCCCTTTTCCCCCATGGATCCCCTCCACCCCACATCTGCGCCCCCAGGCCTGCCCCACACTATTGTCTGTGTCCGTGGGTTATGCATATAGGCACATAAATCCTTTGGTTCTTCTCTCTCTCGGTGGCACATCTGGGTGACTCTTGAGGCTCTGTCATCAGCGCTGCTCTCTGCATTCTCACCCTGATCATCTCCCTACCCTCATGGCTTCAGCTGTCTTCTCTGCAGGTGCGATTCCACCTCTCCAACCCTGTTCCCCTTCCCTGGGGCAGCCCCGCACTCCCAGCTGCTTACGGGGCTGGTTTTGGACTGTATGCGAGAGGATTATGTGGTCTCTTTTCTTTCCGTGCTCTTCTTTAGTTTACGGGGTTCATTGCAGCAGCATGCAGCTGTAGCTCATTGTGATTGCTGAGCCCTGTTCACCAAATGCCTACAGCACGGGTGGTCTTGTCTGCTAGGACTGCGTCATCACTTCAGTTGTTCCCAGTCTGGAGCTGTGAAGAAGTGACGCTGCTGTGGAGACCCCAGGATGTGTGAGCTGCTTCTCAAGGAGAAGCACTCCCTGTGACGTATCATTAGGAGCAGGATTGCCACAGAGGGTCCTCAGGGTCCGCCCCAGAGGAGAGAGGGGAGCAGACTGTGGGAAGCCCTGCAGCCTGCGGAGACTTGAAGGGCTTATAACTGAAATCTGCCTCGACCTAGAAGTGTGAGCTCTCTGTTTAGGAACCTTCACCCAAAATGACCAGCATTGATTTCCTTTTTTTCTTTTCTTTTTAATGTTGACACTGTTACAGATGTCCCCTATTTTCCTCCCATTTGCTCATGTCCACCCAGCACCACCCCCAGCCTTCACCACGGTTGTCTGTGTCCATGGACTATACATATATGTTCTTTGGCTAAACTCTTCACCTACAGCCACCCCTTCCCCCAGCCCCCTCTAAGACCTGTCAGTGTGTTCAGTGTATCCAGGCCTCTGGATCTGTTTTGTTTGTCACTTTATTTTGTTCATTAGATTCCACATATGAGTGAGGTCATGTGGTATGATCAGTCTTTCCCTGACTGGCTTGTTTCACTTAGCATAATACTCTCCAGGTCCATCCACACTATTGCAAAGGGTGAGAGTTCCTTCTTCTTTACAGCTGCGTAGTATCCATGGTGTAAACCTAACACTGTTTCCTGTCCACTCATCTACTGATGGGCACTTGGGCTGTTTCCAGGTCTTAACTATTGTAAACTGCGCTGCTGTGAACATCGGGGTGCATAAGTTCTTTCTGATTAGTGTTTCGGGATTCTTAGGATATATCCCCAGAAGTGGGATCACTGGGTCAAATGGCAGCTCCATTTCTAATTTTTTTTTGAGGAAACTCCACACTGTCTTCCACAGTAGCTGCCCAGTCTGCACTCCCACCAGCAGTGCACCAGGTTCCCCTTTCTCCACACCCTCGCCAGCACATGTCGTTTGTTGACTTATTGATGGAGCCATTCTGGCAGGTGTGAGGTGACACCTCATTGTAGTTTCAGTTTTCATCTCTCTGAGGATTAGCGACGTTCAGCATTTTTTTTATATACTACTGGCCATCTGTATGTCCTGTTTGGAGAAGTGCCCATTCAGGTCCTTTGACATTTTTAAATTGGATTATTTGTCTTCCTGGTTTTGAGTTGTATAAGTTCTTTATGTATTTTGGAAATTAAACCTTTATCAGATGTATTATTGGTGAATATGTTCTCTCATAGAGTATGTTCCCTTTTCTATGTGTTGATGGTTTCTTTTGCTGTGCAGAAGCTTTTTAGTTTGATGTCGTCCCATTTGTTTATTTTTTCCCTTCTTCCCTTGTCCTCAGAGACAGATTGGCAAAAATATTGCTATGCAGAGATATCTGAGATTTTATTGGCTATATTTTCATCCAGGGTTTTTATAGTTTTGAGACTTACATTTAAGTTTTTTATCCATTTTGAGTTTATTTTTGTGTATGGTGTAAGTTGATGGTCTAGTTTCATTTTTTTTGCATGTAACTGTCCAATTTTCCCAACACCATTTATTGAAGAGACTGTCTTCACTCCATTGTATGCTCCTGCCTCCTTTGTCAAATATTAATTGACCATAAAGACATGGGTTGATTTCTGGGCTCTCTGTTGTTCCACTGATCCATATGCCTGTTCTTATGCCAGGACCAGGCTGTTTTGATTACAGTGGCTTTGTAGTAAAGTTTGACATCAAATATTGTGATCCTTACAACTTTGTTCTTTTTCTTAATATTGCTATTGCTATTTGTGTGATGTATCACATTTATTGACTTGTGAGGCTATTCGGGTCTTTTTTGGTTCTATATAAATTTTTGGAGTATTTGTTCTAGATCTTGGAAATATGCCATTGGTATGAGTTATGTTGAATTTATAAATTGCTTTGGGTCATATGGACATTTTCATGATGTTAATTATTCCAGTCCATGAGCATGGTATATTCTTCCATTTGTTTATATCTTCCTCTATCTCTTTTTTCAGTGTCCTGTAGTTTTCTGAGTACAGGTCTTTTACCTCCTTGGTTAAGTTTATTCTTAGGTAGCTATTTTTTTTGTTTTTTTTTTTTGTTACAATAGTAAATGGAATTGTTTTCCTAGTTTCTCTTTCTGATAATTCATTATTAGTGTATAAAATGCCACCAATTTATGTATGTTAATTTTGTATCCTGTTATTTTTTGAATTCATATATTAGGGCTAGTAGATTTTGGTGGAGTCTTTAGGGTTTTCTAAGTACGATACCATGGCATTGGCAAATAATGACAATTTTACTTCCTCCTTCCCGGTTCGGATGCCATTTATTTCTTATTCTTGTCTGATTGCTGTTGCTAAGTCTTCCGGTACTATCTTGAATAAGTGGTGAAAGCAGACATCACTGTTTTTGTTCCTAATCTTAAGGGGAACACTTTTGGTTTTTGCCCAATGACTATAATGGTAGCTGTAGGTTTGCCAGTTATGNGGAACACTTTTGGTTTTTGCCCAATGACTATAATGGTAGCTGTAGGTTTGTCAGTTATGGCCTTTATTATGTTGAGGTTTGATCCCACTATTCCCACTTTGCTGAGAGTTTTTATCATAAATGGGGCCTGGATTTTATCGAATGCTTTTTCTGCATCTATTGATATGATCATGAGACTTTTATTTTTCATTTTTTGTGTGATATTTCACATTTATTGACTTGTGAATATTTTACCAAACTTGCATCCCTGGAATAAATCTCACTTGATCATGCTGTATGATCTTTTTAATGTATTGCTGGATCCGATTTGCTAATATTTTATTGAGGATTTTAACATCTATGTTCATTAGGGATATTGGCCTATGATTTTCTCTTTGTAGTGTACTTATCTGATTTTGGAATTTGGATAATGCTGGCCTTGTAAAAAGAGCTTGGAAATCTTCTGTCCTTTTGAATTTTTTGGAATAGTTCTAAGAAGATAGGTCTTAGTTCTTTGAATGTTTGGTAAAACTCACCTGGTCCAGAGTTTATGTTTTCTGGAAGTTTTTTAAATTCTTGCTTCAATTTCATTAGTTTTTTGGTCTGTTCAGGTTTTCTGATTCTTCTTGATTGACTTTTAGAAGATTGTATATTTCTAGAAATTTGTCCATTTTGCCCAGGTTGTACAATATGTGGGCATATGTAGTTTGCATATTTTTTCTCAGTTCTTTGTATTTCTGTGATGTCAGTTGTTACTTCACCTCTTTTATTTCTAATTTTATTTATTTGGGTCCTCTTTCTTTGTTTCTTGATGAGTCTGGCAAAATGTTTATCAACCTTGTTTATCTTTTCAAAGAATCAGCTCTTGGTTTCATTGATCTTTTGTGTTTTTTGTTTGTTCTCTATGTCGTTTATTTCCAATCTCATCTTTATTATTTCCTTCCTTCTGCTTCCTCTGGACTTTGCTTGTTGTTCTTTTTCTAGTTAATTTAGGCATAGGGCTCGATTGTTTATTTGAGATTTTTCTTGCTTCTTGAGCTAGGCCTCTAATGCTATGAACTTCCCTCTCAAGACTGCTTTCACTGTGTCATATAGATTTGGGGTTGTTTGTTCATTTTCATTTGTTTCAAAGTAATTTTTTATTTCTTGATCTCATTGGTAACCCATTCATTGTTTAATAACATGTTATTTAGCATCCATTTGTTTGAATTTTTTTGAATTTTTTTTATTGCAGTTGATTTCTAGTTTCATGCCATTGTGATCCGAGAAGATACTTGATATAATTTCAATCTTCTTGAATTTGTTGACTTATTTTGTGTCCTAATATGTAGTCTATCTTTGAGAATGTTCATTGTATACTTGAGGAGAATGTATATCTGCTGCTTTGGGATGAAATGTTATCTAAATATTAATTAAGCCCATCTGATCTAGTGTGTCATTTAGGGTCACTAATTTTTTGTCTGGAAGAGCTATCCAGTGATGTCATGGGGGTTAAAGTCTCCTGCTATGATTGTATTGCTATCGATCTCTACCTTAAAGTCCATCAAGAGTTGTTGTTTTTTTTTAAATTACATATAGATATTTAAGTGCTTCTATGTTGGGTGTTTATATGTTTAGCAGGGTTATATCCTCTTGTTAGATAGATCCCATTAATATTATGTAGTGATCTTCTTTGTTTCATTTATGGTCTTTGTTTTGAAGTTTATTTTGTCAGATATAAGTATTGCTATCCCAGCTTTTTGTTTTGTTTCTATTTGCATGGAATATTTTTGTTGTTGTTAATTCTCACCTGAGGATGTTTTTCCCATTGACTTTTAAAGTGAGTGGAAGGAGGGAGGAGAAAGAGAGAGAGAGAGAGAAAGATCAATTTGAGAGAGACACAGTGATTGGTTGCCTTCTGCACATGACCTGACCTGAAATAGGTCTCAAACCTGCAACCCATGTACATGCCCTTGACTGGGAACTGAACCTGTGACCCTTTGGTGCATGGGCTGACACTCTAACCACTGAACCACACCCACCAGGGCATGCCTGAAATATTTTTCTCCAATTCCTTCACTCTCATTCAGTCTCATCCTGTGTGTCTTTTGTTCTGAGGTGGGTCTCTTATAGACAGCATATATATGGGTCATGTTTTTTTATACTTTCAGCTACCCTGTGTCTTTTGATTGGAGTATTTGATCCATTTAAATTTAAGATTATTATTGATAGGTACTTATTTATTGCAATTTTTTCTGTATGCCTATGTTCCTCTCTCTCTATATATTTCTTTTTCTCCTTACAACATTCCCTTTAGCATTTCTTGCAATGCTGGTTTGGTGGTAATGAACTCCTTTAGCCTTTTTTTTGTCTGGGAAGTTCTTTATTTCACCTTCAATTTTAAATGATAGCCTTGCTGGATAGAGTAGTCTTGGATGTAGGCCCTGCTATCAGACTTTGAGTACATCATGCTGTTCCCTTCTAGCTGAAATGTTTCTGTTGAGAAATCGCCTGGCAGCCTTATAAGAAAACTTCCTTGTAGTTAACTAACTGTCTCTGTTGCTGCCTTTAACATTCTCTCCTTGTTCTTAACCTTTGCCATCTTAATTATGATGTGTCTGGGCCTGGGCCTCTTTGGATTCTTCTTATGTGGGACTGTCTGTGACTCCTGAACTTGTATGACTTTTTCCTTCACCAGGTTAAAGAAGTTTTCTGTCACTATTTCTTCATACAGGTTCTCTATCCCTTGCTCACTTTGTTATGTTTCATGTTGTTCCAGAGTTGTCTTAAACTATATTCATGCTTTTTATTAATTTTTTCTTTTTGCTCCTCTGATTGGGTGTTTTTTCTACCTTGTCTTCTAAATCACTGATTCAATCTCTGCTTCATCCACCCTACTGTTTATTGATTACTGTTCCTTGCTTCCATTTCATTTAGCTCTTTTTTCTGGAGATTCCTCCTATTCTTTCACTTGGGGTCTCTTTCTCTGTATCTCCATTTTGGCTGCCTCTTTGTGGTTTTGTTTCTATATGTTAGATAGATCTGCTGTGACTCCATTCTTGGTGGGGTAGCCTTCTGTAGTAGGTGCCCTGTGGGACCCAGTGATGCAGTCTCCTTGATCTCCTGACCTGGGTGCTCCAGGAATGTCCCTTTGTGTTGTGTGGGCCTCCTGTTGTGACTGGGTCCTGACCACTGTTGGCCCATTGTGCGTGGGCCCGGCCCTTGGGCTGGCTGGCTGCAAGGCTCAGCCTTGACCACGTCATGCAAACTGCTGTACAGGTGCTGACCGAACAACGTAAGACAAAACCAAACCAAACCAAAAACACCCCAACAACAAAGGCAACACCAAAAGAATAAGAAAATAAAAAATAATAAAAGACAAGAGACAGAAAGAAAGAAAAAAAAGAAAAGAAATAGAACATGAGAGGAAAGAAGAGATGAAATTTAAAGAAATAAAAAATAAAATAAAGAGAAGGAAAATAAAACTGAATAGAATAAGAAATAAAAGACTGAAAAAGAAAGAAAAGAGAGAAAAAAAGAGAAGAAAACAAAATAGAGAAGAAAATACAGAAGCCCCCGGGAGACACAGTCCGTCAGGCCCAGGCTCTGCACATCTCCCTGGCACCTCCATGGGGCCCAAGGACCCAGCAGGACGGGGAAGATTGTTGTTCCTGTGTAGCACTTAGATTTATGCACGTGGCTCATCACAGAGCAGGATGGCCTGACAGTCCCTGCCCTGCTCCCTGCCCCTGCCCAGTGACACTGCAGGAGCGGCTGACCCAGTAGTTCAGCAAGATGTGCTCAGGTGGGCAAGACCCATCCTCTTTCCCAAGCCACACAGTTTAGTCCCTGACTGGCTTTCTACCCAAAGTCCTTCCAGAGAATAGAGAGCCCCCCAAAGTCACTGCTGAGTGTACTAAGCAGACCCCTCCCCAGGATCAGCAGAGCAGCTTGGCCTGTCCAGCAGTCACAGACCCGAGTCAACTCCCAGGCTGGTGCTGCAGCAGTGAGAGTGCTCCTCCCCTGGAACAGAGTCCTCACTGATTCCCACCCCATGCTACATGGATTGGGGACCCCTGGGGGGCTGAGATCCCCGCTCCCAGGGGGAGGGAGCTCGCAGCCAGATAGCCCCTGCACCTGCGTGAGGGGGCTCACCTTCTCCATGTCTTCACCCCTCCTACCACCTCCTGCTGTCTTCCTCCAGCTCCTTGGTTATAATATTTCAGATCAGCAAACTTCAACTGGTGTTCAACTGATTGTTCTCTAATGTAGCTGCAAGTCTGGTCCGGGGCTGGGAGCAACCACTGGAGCATCCAGCCGCTGAGAAGGAATCTTGGAATCCCTCGGGGAATAGTGGTTCGTGCCAGCCCTGACTTGCATGAACTCATGCTGGCTGCCTGGAAGCACTGCATCCGAGGCAGAGTCCAGGCTCAGAGGAATAATGCTGTTACCAGTCAGCACCTGCCGATCGTGCAGGCGGGAGGAGGGCTCCTTTGTTTCCTCTGCCCTAGGTCAGTGAAGAAATCTGAGCTTACCGAACCCATCTTTGCGTCTGTCCGTACTTGTCTCACACCGCACATGCAATTATTTTTGGACACGTGCATTTTGTTTTGCTTACCCTGAGTTCTCAGAAACATTACCCTCTGCAATCTAAACCTCCTGTTGGTTTACTTGGGCCAGAGGTAAGGTTACAGCTTCTCCATTTGATGTCCTAATTTTTGTTGAAGACACATCCCAGTTGAGTCTTGTGTAGTTTGTCTGGAGCAGGGTCGCTAGGATGGTGTTTGGATTGGGTGTGCCCTTCTGTGAATTTCTTTTAGTCGCTTATTCTCAGTGACTGTCCGAGTTTAAGGCTGGCAGTGGCCATGTGGACCAGAGGGCCAGCACCACCCCAAAAAGGCCGTCTGCAGGCATCTGATGTCTCCTGTGAGCTTCCCATGTATTTCAGTTTCAAAGCTTATGCTCCCTTTGAATTCAGGTGTTGTCTGTTTCCAATTTCATCTTTTGGCTCATTTATAAAACAGAGGCTATCAACACTCCTGAATGCAATGAATGATCAACTCGAGAACTTCAGACTGTCGCTCCTGTCTGCTTACCAAGGGCTTCTGAGTCTCATAAATTGTGTGGCGTGGTCTCCTTATCATGACCATTTTCAATACTGAGACTGAGATGTACATTAAGGATTCCCAGACATAGGCCCTCCCAAAGGGAGGGGTGGCCTTGGTGTTCCAAGAGCTGGGAAGGGGCAAAGACACGTGAGGATGGGAGGGAAGGGAGCATCCATCTAGGAGTTAGAAAGTAGAGGTTCAAAGAAGAGCTTGGGATCCGAGTGGGCACCAGCGTGCAGAGCAGATCCTCTGGGCTGTGCTGGCACTTAATTAATGGGTTGACACCGTTTTGGCACAGAGTGCTTACAGACAGTTAGCTTCACTGTGCCATGCACTTGAAGATGTGCAGCAGTAGCTGTGGATTCCTTTGGCTTCAAAATGTTTGCAACACAGTGTGGCCTAGGGCAGGTTGTGATAAGCTCTTTAATGAGTTTTTTAAAGTGAAAGTGCTCTTGAAATTCAGAGAAAAGTGAACCCCTCTCCCTAGTGGGGACCAGAGGACCAAGGAGGGGCCGTGAAGGAAGCGGTGTGTGTGGTGGGTTCTAAGAATTAGGAGGGTTTCCCTTCCTCATCTCTCCTTCCCCTTTCCCAGTTCTGTCCTTCGTGGGCCTCCTTCCTTGGCGGCTCAGGTTTGGGCTGTGGTGGGAAGAAAGCTGTGCTGTTCCTCTGGGCAGACACGCAGGAAGGGGCAAGTTTGCGGGCGTGGAGTTCCAGAGGAACTGGTTCTGCTCTTGGCACCGCCTGCCCACAGCTTTTTCCATACTTGCTCTGCAGGGTGCTGACCAAGCAGAGCAGGACCAACCCTTCTCTCAGACAGGAACCCAGCCCTGCTCTGCTGGCACCGGGAGGTGGGGGCGGGAGTTCGGCTCCTGGCCAGTCTGTAGAGCCAACAGAGATGGCTTCGAAGGCAACTGAGGGCTCTGTATTTACAGCACCCGTCCTGCTGCTCAGTTTTGTGTGACCGGGGAAACAGTTATGACAACATTATAATCACCTGGAGAGCTTTCCCATAGTGTACGAGGCCCACATCTGGAGAGCTGATGAGTGGCCTGGGCCGTGGTGGTCCTCAGGCCATTGGAGTCCTGCTCTATCTCCTGCTGAGCTCGAGGGTCCTGCAGAATTCCCTCCTCAGGCTCCCAAGAGCACGTTGTTTCCTAAAATTCACGAGTCAGATCAGATCATTCTACTCTCATACCTACTATTTAACTATGAAGAAATATTTAGGCAGCATCCCCACTGACATCTACTGCATCTCCATGTAGCGTTTGTAATATGACAGGTATAAGGGAAGTGCAGCTCCGACGCTTTGTTATCGTCACTTGACTTTGCTGTCATTTGCAGTGCCAGACTTTCGCGCTCACTTGATCGGAGGGCTGCTGGCCTTGGCGGGTGCGGCAGTGTTTGTCGTGTGCGTCTGCAGCGTCCTTAGGATCGACATTGCACTCTGGTATCGGAGTGCCTTCCATTCTGCTGAGACCGTAGAAGGTGAGTGTGGGGGACCCTGCAAATGCCTCATCTTGGTATCGCTCATGTGTGGAGCCATTGCAAATGCACTTCTTCGGATTTGACTAGCTTGCCTTTTATGTCGTTGGCAAATTCAGAGGAAGGCATCTCCCTGGAACTTTCCATACTTCTGAGAAATGATTTTCCTGAGGCCACCAGCGTTGTTCAGTCCAGTCAGGCTTGCAGGCTGGTCGTGACTGAGTGAATAAATCTGGGTGCCACAGCAACCGTTCTAGAACGGGTCTCACACCTACCCGTATAAGCGAAAGAAGAAAATTTCTCCTTGAGCAAAGTGCTCTTCATCCGTGAAACACCCTCAGCCCAGTGGATGCGTGGACGGGATGGATGCCGTGGGCACCCTGCTGCGGGGGGTGCAGCACCCGGGACTCACTGCCTGAAAACTTTAAGTCTCAGCGCTTGAGTCTGAAGAGAGACAGGCCCGAGTTTGATCTGAGCTCTCACTTACTCTGTGTGACCTTAGAAAGGTACTTCACGTTTTCTCTCCCTTGTCGTGGAAGGAGGGAAGGAAGGAAGCGCACAGGTCGGGGGCTGTCCCACAGCGCTGTGCGGCCGCGGGCTGAAGCCCTCCGCACTGGGCAGGGATCTGGGGCACGGGCGGGCTCCCTCGGGCCTGGTCTGAAGCTGCCTCTGCTGCTCTGTCCAGAGTCTTCAGCTTGTCCCTGGGGCCGGCATCCTGGGTCGCTGTCCAGCTCAGAAATGCTGGGTGCCATCCTGAAGCTGAGGGGCGAGTGTCCCCCGCGTTGTGCTTTTAACTGGGATTCACGGGGTGGGCAAAAGTGGGCTTACAGCTGTGAGTGCGCGAAACACAGAGTTTATCCCTGTATTAATATTTATTAATTATTGATTTATTTTCCATATGAAAATATGGAAACCTACTTTTGCCCCACCCTGTGTGCTCGTCTCAGACGGGCTGTGACCTCCTCAGGCCTCGAATGAAGTAATACCTCTGCTTTGGGTCCCCTACCTGGACGGGAGTTACCAGGAGGCTCAAAGGCACCCGCGCAGCTCACATGCGCGGAGAGACAGCTCTGCCTTTCAGACCCAGGCCGTGCGGTGCTGACAAGGGCAGGAGTGCAGGAAGGGGGTCGGGCAGGCTTTAGGAGCCCCCGTTACCGAGAAGGGCACTGTTTGCACTAAGTGCCTGCTTTGCATAGAAAATAACATGCACAGGCTGTGGCCCGCGTGTTTGATAAAGCATAGATGTCCTAGCTGGGACTTTATTCTACATTAAATTTTAGAATTTAAACTTGGCAGCCCATGAACAACAGAAAAACCAATTTTTTTATGATGACAGAGTTCCGTTGTGGAATTCTGGCTGTGGGCATGCGGTGCAGCCTGCGAGCCTCTGGTGCGGGGACAGCCAGCTGGACGAGGGTTCTGCCTGGGGACGCAGTCCCTGCAAGTCTCGCTCAGCTGCCGGGACTGAGCCCAACCTGGGTCTGGCTGGGGAGAGACCCCTGCACCACCACTCTCCCTGCTGACACAGATTCCAGTGATTCCCCACTTTCCGTCTGCTGGCTGACAGCAGCTACATAGACGTAGGCGGTGTTCCCGGAATTCTGGCCCCGTGAGGTGACATTTGTCACTCCTGACTCACTGCAGCTCTGGGAGCATGAGTAATGAGGGGGTGACGTTGCCTGTTAGTGAGGTCAAGCTTAGCAGGAAGAGCAGAAGGGAGTACTGACTCACCCGGGGCTGGGGGCTGAGCAGAGGGGAGACTCCGGGAGCCCCACCCTCTGCTAGCCGGGGCCACGGCCAGATTCAGAACCGGTGGGCTGAGGGTTTGGAGACGGGAACCTACAGCCAGCCAGTGGTCCTCTCCCGGTTCTTCTTTAATTCAGAAAAGTCTGCGCACTTTGTGACTGAGTTCCGGACAGCTTGGTCTATGAGCGCTCTCCTGTGGCACCCTTCGGGGTGCTGGCCTCACAGAGAACTAGTGAGGACACTGGAAGATGAGTCCCCGACACTGTGTCCCTGCCTCCTTCCCGGGGGACAGCTTCTGGGTGTTGGGAACGTGAAGTAATGGGTGGCAAACATGACGAGAAAGAGAGGAAAGGTGTCTTTCTGGCGATAAAGCACTTATCCCATAGATTAGTCAGGCTTTATGTGTGATTAATAGTTATGCGTGTATAACTCACAGTTTTTTGTTTTCTTAAATGTTTTTATTTCAGAGAGAGGAGGGGAAAGGGAGAGGGGGAGAGGAAGGGAGAGAGGTGGAAACTGGAGTGATAAGTCATTGATCGGCTGCCTCCTGCAGGCCCCTAGTGGGGATCGGGGTCAAAACCCGGGCATGTGCCTGACCAGGGATCGAACCCTGACCTCCTGGTTCATGAGTTCACACTCAACCGCTGAGCCACGCCGGCTGGGCTGGGCTGTACCTCACAGTTTTATTAAGAGTCATCCACAGGCCTAGCTAAAGCCCACAAGCTCTGTGTCTTCTCCATTCAGTCACAGGAGGTGCTTTAACAGTTCTCCAGCCAGGTGTGCAGGTGCGTGCAAAGCACACAGACCAATTTACAAACCTCCGGCGATGTGTATATACCTCACCTTATTCCAAATAAATTTGTTCTGTTCACGTAGAACAGAACAGTTAAAAACAAAACCAAAAACAGGTACAGTGAACATAGGGAAACAGAGAGAGTACCGATGCCCCTCTTAAAAACGGAGGACAGGGTACCGATGCCCCTCTTAAAAACGGAGGGCGCAGAGCTCTGTCACTTAGGAGAAGGGAGGCTTCACTTAGTAAAAATGTCTCCTTTGGTTCCCTCCCTCCTTCCCCCTCC